TACTATGTATATTTAGCTTCGGTTCCGTTTCAGCTAAGATTTTTTCAATAAAAAAGTGGAAATCAAATAATATGAATCAAAATTTAGTTTGGTTTATGGAATTTTTTTCCGGTTCGGTTAAACCAGCTGATTTGGACTACTAAAATCGGATCCTACACGTTCTTGTTGAGTTGTCGTTTTATAAATCTACAAACCATTGCTTCTTTTGCACAAAAAAAAAAAATCAAAAATCAATGCTCTAATTTAAATTGGCGACTTTTTTTTTTTGCATGACCAAATAGTTTTTTGCCACGTGGTCTTCTTTCAAGAATATACTAAAAAAAATTATCTAAAATAACCCAATTTTTTATAAGAACTATTAATCTCTTTAATTTTTTATTGTCTAAATAACCTGCTTCACATTTTTTTTATAATACCAAAAATATCCATATTAACTAACTAATATTAAAAATAAGTTTAATTGAAAAAAATTTCAAATAAAAAAATAGATACAAAATTTGAAAACCATTATCAACAAAATACAACACTCCAAAAATCTATCAATATTTTTGCATATTATGATTATTATTTTTTTTGAAAAATCTACATTTTTTTTTGCAGAGTTTGCCAATGCCTCGTTATACTCTATCATTGCCTCGACAGAGTCTGTCAATGCCTCGGCAGAGTCTGTCAATATTTCGGAAGAGTCTGCCAATATCTCGGCAGAGTTTACTAATGGCAGACTCTATCAATGTTTCGGCAGAATCTACCAATGTTTCGGCAGAGTCTGCCTATATTTCGGCAGAGCCTGACAATGTTTCGGCAGAGTCTTCCAATACATCGGCAGAGTCTACCAATATATTGCTAGAGTCTGCCAATGTTTCGGCAGAATCTACCTATTTCTATATATTGACAGACTCTGCCAATATCTCGGCAGAGCTGGCAGAATTTCTCAATGTTTCGGCAGAGTCTGCCTATATCTCGGCAGAGTCTGCTAATGTTTCGGTAGAGTCTGTCAATATTTCGGCAGAGACTATGTTTTTCTAGTAGACGCTTTAAAAGTCTTCTAAAATGTTAGTAGACTTATATCTCAGTCAGCTAGTCTACCAATATCTCGACAAAATTTACCAAAGTCTCGGTAGAGTTTTCCAATATTTTAGTAGAGTCTGCCAATATTTTGGTAGAGTCTGCGAAAGACAATTTTGGTATTATGGAAAAAAAATCTAGAATAGGCTATTTCAGCAATTAAAAAAATAATAAAATCATTGTAGCTATTAAAAAAAAATAGGTTACTCTATACTAAAATTTCAACATCCAAATTTATGATTTTTGCTAGTTAGATATCTATACTATGGAAAGACAGACCATTGGCATTTCTGTCAACTCTTGCAATTCTTACCGTACTATGACCGTAATTTGGGTTTTCTCAATTTCCTAGAAGTCATGGTGAAGTTTATATGTGGTGAATCTGAATATTGTTAGCTATTCGTATCCTTCCAAACCATTAAGAGACTACGATTTTAAAAAATAATAATTCAAAGAATCGAAAAAGGATAATAGAATTTATGAAAAAAAATTTGTATTAATAAAATTACGGATCATATATTTATACAAGTTTAATCGGTCGAATAAATTCTAAAGAAATAAAAAAAATATCCTATTTTAAGTAATTTTTCTTTTTTTGAGTTGATTCTTTTCTTTTTCTTCTCGGAAGCTGTTAGGTCGGGTGAACATCGTGGGCTTAGGCCGAGATCAATGTGTATATCTCATACTTTTCAAATGAAGTTTCATATAGCTAGGTCTACGTCGCCATATGTTCCCCTCAAATTAGGATTCTATAATAATCCCAGTTTTAGAGGCCGTCTATGTAACAAAACTTCTAAAATCAAAATGTTTATAAAACTTTTAGTTATTTTTCAAAACTTACAAAACCTTGTAATCACAGTTTTGTAATTAACTGTAAGACAAAATAAGGAACAAAAAGAATAACATCAACAACAAAATTAATCCATATTGAAATCAACTCCATATTAACGTATTGACAAACCAAGTTAACAACTTGTAAGACCCAAATTTATTACTAAATGTAGAACCTAAATTTATTATTATATTCAATCCCAACGAATCAAAAACTCAACGATTCTCCATTGAAATACAGAAAGATAAAAAAAACCCAGAGAATCGAAAACCCTAGATTAAAGTAGATTTTCGCGAAACAAAAACTCTAGATTAAAGCATATTTCGTGAAACGAAAACACGAGATTGAAGCAGATTTTTGCGAATCAAAAACCCTATACAAAAGCAAATTTTGCGCAAGCCACAATGAAATTGTTGAAAAGAGGCAAGAAATAGTGCATTTACCCTTAAACCTTTGATTGATATCAAGATCTCGCCGAACTGTTAATCCTTTAACTGCGATATGAACGACGATTAGGGTTTCAGATTGAAACAACCCGACCCGTTTTTTTTTTTTACATTTTTAATCAACATTGGAATCGAATTAATGTTCTCATAAACATTAACTCTCAACTTCCAATCAATTCAATCATATTAAGACAGCGGAACAAAAGCAATTAAAACAATAAACCAATCATTTAAATATCTAATAACCAAGATCAATAGTTCAGACAAGTGCAACAATATCCAATCAATTCCACACTAAACCATTCAAATCTAACAACAATCCAACAACCTAGCCATTCTAACACAATAGCTAGC